TGGCACTGGAAAACAAGCGGGAAGAATAAAATTTTTGTTAATGAGATGGATAAATTTGAAAGGATTGCAATATTTTAAATCAAACAATAATGTCCTGTATTGGCCAGCTTTCCTGTTTGGTACAAATTATCCAACACCCACAATTTAAAGGAGGAGAGATTTAATTTGGCTCATAGTTTCAGGGGGTTCAGTTCATGATTGGCTGACTCTCAGGCAGAAATATCAAGGTGGAAGGGTATGGGACACCAACAGTGCTCAGTTCGTGGTGACAGGGAAGCAGAACCCTGGGGAAGGATGGGATCAAAAAACATGCATACCCTCCAAAGGCACATTACCAGTGACCCAACTCCACTGTGCCCCATCTCCTGACATCACATTCAGCTATGAATATCAGTGGACTAATCCGTGGATGAGTATAGAACCCCCATGAGCCAATCACCTCTCCAGGAGTCTTTTAATTCAATCAAGTTGATGATCAAGACTAACTGGCACATTCCCGCTTTTTCTTTTAAAGGAAATTTTTTCATTCCCCCAACATCTTGAACTCCATTTTCCAACATTATATATAATAGAATTATGAATGTAAAGATATTTACAACACTCTCATTTTGTCAGATATTCAGATATAAAACACAGTTCTAAAGCCATATAGGCTATCAATTGGACTTTGGAAATTGATATGTTTTGAAGCTATTTTAAATAACTACGCATTTGGTACCTTCAACTGATGACAAGTTCCTTGTCATCCCTCCCCTAAACACAAAACACTTAACACAATAGGCTTTCTACCAATAGTAATTGACCAATTTAAAATCTATCACCCAAATAAAAATTATTTAACTCAAAGCTGCTGTAATTATATCAATATGTAATTGCTATGGTTGGACAACTAGATTTTTTTTTTTGGTACTGGGGATCAAACACTGGTACTTGCACTTGCGAGGCAGGTGCAGTGCCACTGAGCTAAATCCCAGGCCCTAGAATATTTTGTTTTGACTGGTCTTTTACTACTATTAATGGAAAATATATTGACTCTCCATATCCTTCAATATTATTTTAGCATGTTCTGATAAGGCGAACTTACTCCTGTCTGGTGCTTAGGGTCACCAAGCATAATTTCTCTCTATAGGCTTGAAAGCCTTCAGTACATCTTGGAGGAGTAGATGGGCCTTTGGTTAAATATTTCCTGGGTTACAAATCTTTATCCTACCAGGTAATGCAAAGTGTTGACCTATTTTCCTTGCTGAAAGGCTCTAATGTCGAGAGTAAAGATTTCTTCTGTGACTGCCTGGTGCTTGTTTCGGTAGTAGAACAATAGAAAATTCTTGCTCTTACACACATGGTAGTGTTTCCATACTAAATCTTTTTTTTTCCCTTCTTACTAAATATTCTTAGTTCCTTCAAATTGTCTTCATTAAGCTAGTTTTCAGTCTTTAGATGATGACATGTTCTTAAAAAATTCTACATTGTCATGAATATCTTACTCTATTGCCTAAGAATAAACTATAATATTAGCGACATTAGCACTAGGATGAGGTAAGGGAGACAGTTACCTCTGGAGCAAAATTTAATAGACTGCCAAAAATCTCAGGGCTCAAGATAACCAATATTTGAATGCAATATTTGCAAAAAATAAAAACATTGATTTTTAAAAGTCCATGATGAATAAAGTAACAATATTTTAAATAAAGATGAGGCTAGGCTTTGTATGGGATACAGAAGCTGAATATTACAAGTACAGAGACACTTCCAGTCTTTATTGGAAATTTCATTTTCTTGGAGTTACAATCCAATTTGGACACTGGAGATTCAATTTTCCAAAGGAACCAGCCTAACAGCATTGGAAAATGAGTGCTCATTTCAAGGATGCCCAATGTGCAACATGTGTAAGAGATACCACTGACAATCCTGTCTCTGGTCTGAGGTTGCTATCACTAATACTGCCTCTACTTCTCACCAAAGTTCTCTTGAGCTTTATTGCACCTTTGCTTCCAGCCCTCACTACATCCTTTATGCCACATTACTCCTGATGATGCTTATACACCTGGGAAAGCTCATTCCTAACTCCATCCAAACTGACATGTGTTGGAATGATTTTTTTGTAATTGTATGAAAAGTATTGGAAATCTCATCCTACCTGATTTTCAAAAACTGCAGTTTACAGATATGTAAAATTTGTCATTCATACTGGCTTTTCTTAGACATTGAATATAATCAATGCATTACATTTTGCCATGAGACCAAGGTAACCATGGGAAAAGCATTTTTCCATGTAAACTGATCTTTAGAGGTTTATGTTCTGTAGAACCTATCTCATAAATTCAAGTTGGTGATAGAGACAGAAATTGGGATGCTAACAAGCTGTAGAAAAATTGTTCTTTAAACATATCTTAGGCAACAAGCACCTCTTTGCCCCAAAGTTGTCTTAGAAAATACAGCCTAAGTAGGCACCATTATTTGCACTTCACAGCCCAAGTATCTAACACCATCAATATTCCCTTTTAAAAAAGAGTCTAAGTTTCCTAACAGTATATTTTAAACTAATTACAGTGGGAAATCCAAAGTTAGATGATTCAAATTGCCTCTGTAATGTACTTACACCTAAAAAAGAAAATCATAGAAGATGAAACATCATTGCCTGCAGGGAAGATATAATGTCTGAATCACCTTAATTTCTCTTCTTCTCACTCATCCCCTATAACATTTTATTAAATATTTTTTCTTCATTTGAATATAATCCATGCAAGATAGAGGCAAACAAAAATATGTTTCTTCTGGGGCAAAGCAAATATAAAAATCACAGAATATGTCTACATTTAGGGAATAAGAGGAATTCCAGATTTGGGGAGAAAGTTTAGAAGATGAGCTCTTGTGAAATGAGCACCAGGAAGAGTTAGTGTGAAAGTGAACGACATTAATCATGTTGGGATTATCCACTTTAAGGGATGTTTGTTCTATAAATGATTTGCTGTAAGCCATGATGTTCCCCCAGCTCACCACTGAAGCATCGATCTACTACAAAGGCATAAAACATGACCTTTAGCCGTGATTATTCTAACATATTTATGAAAAACAAGGAAGACAAATAGAAGAAACATGAGAATAAGAATTCTCTTTTCAATAGGAAACAGTAGCAGTGTCCGTGATGGACAATGACAATGATTACAACAAAACAACAGTTTTGATTTATTGAGTATGTGAGAGGAACAATACCCACTTACTAATGGTTATTAGTTTGAATTATTTCAACAACATTAGGAATTCAATATTGTTATTTTTGTTTGAAAAGTGAGCAAACATAAGCTCAGAAATGTAACACACCACCTCAAGTCATACAGCTGATATACAGTTGTCATGGTAGTCAGGCTCAGATCTCTCTGCCTCTGTCAGCTGAGTCTCTTGAAGTCCAAATGCAGCTGTTCAGGTTCTCTCCACCAGACTGCCTGGTCCCTAAAGAGTCAATCCCCAGACATCATCCCAGGTTTGACAAAATGCTCCAGTAATTTCTCCAACTCACACCTACAAATCAGCATTTTTTTTCCAACTTCTTTCTCCAAGGGCCTCTGTTTTGAGGAGTGTGGTATGGATCAAGAAGTCAGCATTTCCACTACTGAAAGGAATCATCTATGCTATAAAATTATCAATATTCTGAGTTTTAGATTTTTTTTCTACAAAGTACATTTGAACCCTTTGACTAGCACCTTTGATGAGCTACTAAATTCAGTGTTCTACAGTGACAAATCTGAAGGGCAGCTCCTTTGGTTTTCCACAGGTTTTCCCTGGTTATTCTACTCAAAATGGCTCTCTAGGACCAACGCCAAAGAAAGCCAAGTTGCTGTGAAGCATCTCACTAGCTTTGGCCATTACATAAGATTCTCTTCTTCAAATGCTTATCCTGCCCCACCAGCTGACAAATTCTTTCTGCCTTTCAAATCCAGTTCAAATATTAACAAACCTTTTGTCAAGCATCCTGAAGCCCACTTCCCCTGAGTACAGTCAGCCTCTCATTCTTTTGAATTTCCATATTATCACTTTGCATTGCCACCACTACCTTCACTTGGCACTCTGTAACTCTTCATGTGTGATTCTTCAGTTTTGTCTAGCCTATAAACTGACTAGTTCAGATGCAGCAAAGCCATAGCCTGTAAGTTGGACACAACTGTGTAATATTAAAAATATACTCTATTTTAATAAGGAAGTTTTGTTATTTATATACATTAAGTATATTATATAGTTTGTTTGCAGCCCAAGATAATTTCTCTTCACTCAGTGTGGCATAGGTGTGCAGATAAAATCCATCACCTTTGTTATCCCAGTAATTACTACAGAGATTGGCATAGAAACAATCCTTAGTATTTGTTTAAAAACCATAAAATTTTGTTTTTGAAAACTATTGCCTTTTGGAAGATGTACTTATTAGGAGCAATTTTTTTTCTTTGAGGAGCTTAACTGAAATCATAGCTGTTGAACCAAATTTATTCTAAGTTCCTACAACTTGATTTATTAGGATTAAATCTGCTATTGTACCTTTGTTTTTGCTTGCAGTTGCTGCCTCCATGCTTAATACCAACTTCCCTTCATACAATCCAAGATGTCTCACATAACAAGGAGAAAAGTGGGCCCTTAAGAAATCAAGGTACTTGCAAAGTCAAAGCCTAGTGGGAGAGCTGAACCAGGGATCTGGCTCCCTGAGACCTTTTGTTATTCTTTCTAGTAATTCAGGGTACTATGAAAAAAATAATAATAATCTTTCAAAGCTAATTTATAGCTCTTTGACTAAAGAAATTTTTCTTTAGTACTTGCAGGGAGCACTACACCATGGAAAAAGTTGCCACCAAATAAGCCAAAAAAGGTCATTCATTAATTCAGTTTTAGGAATATTGATCCCCTATTGTGAATTGTGGTTTAGCTCTCTTAATGAAAAAAGCAATAAAATGCAAATACACACTCATCCAGACAGATTAACAGTCAATACTAAAAGGATAAGATATTGCACTGACCATAGTCTGTGTTTTCTGGCTCCCAGCAATTTGATGGCCAAAAATAAGGTGTCTGTGGGGGAAAAAAGGAGATAAGCCAAAGTTAGATACATAAAAATTTGATAGTTTCTGGTTTATGAACTGTTTATCTTCAGCAATTGTCTTGAATAGTTTACTAGTGATATGTGGTTTGCAATTCAGAACAAATTACCAGAGAGACACTGTAAGGTTTTTATCCATGATTAATTTGCTGGCCAATTATTTAGCCTCCAATTACTTTGCTGACCAATTACTAGCAGATATTTAAAATGTCATACACTTGGTGTAATTTCATACCAGTGGGCATAAAAGAAAAAGATCTAATCGCATTTTTCAAACAAAAGTTTCATCCAGAGAGATCTAAAAAGAGAATATTATTGAGCAAGACCTGAGATGAAATGTTTAAATACATTATACTGTTTTTATACATCACAGATTTCATCACTGCCTTTGATAGATCCAAAAAGCTCAAATGACAAGAATCTTTGGAAGATGAGCAATCATTTGCTCGTCTCCATTAATTACATAATGAAGCTCTCAAAATTATCCAGCCAGATTAAAGCAACTTTTTACTTTCACTTTACATTTTGTATTAGTACATTTGCAATACATAATTCTCACATTCCTTATGTGGAGCTTGTACAGACACGTGAACATATCACATCTTAATTCTTTTCTATCCCCTTTCTCTTTCCTCCTTCCCTCTCCCTCCAGCTCTCGATCCCTTTTCCATTTGAGAAACTTCTACTTCCCTACTTTCTATTATCTTTCATTTTGTTCTTTGTAATTTGAGTTTCTCGTTTAAGAGAAACCTTGTAATAGTTAAGCATGTGTCTCTGATTTATTTCACCTTATATTATGGTCTCAAGGTTTTGAAAACATTCCTTCATAAAGTCATTTATTGCTCTAAAGTTTTAACCACACAAAGCACTACTACCATCTTAGTTGATTGATGTGGCTAACCATAGGCAGAATTCTGATTTTGGTAAAATTCTAGAAACTGAATGACTAAAGTAAGAAGAAAATGTCTGATCAAGAGAAACCCATTATTTCCGGTTCACTGCTTTGGTACAGAGGGCTCCCGCTCTATGGCTCTGACTTGCTGGGTATGCGGGGTGGGGGGTGGGGGGTTCGGAGCCCACATGAACCAATGGCATCACTCCCGCAGTGGCTGGGGTGGGTGGTGGAGGCAACGTTTCTGGACGTCATTTAACCAAGAAAAAAGGTGGAGACCACATCCCAGAAAGGTGGAAAGATTATCTCCCAATTGGACAGCAGATGCCTGGGACTCATTCCATTGCTTTTAAAGTACCTTTGCAAAAGAATTTTAAAGTGAATCTTGCTCCAGAAGAACGCTTTTCTCTTTTGGATCTTTGTAACAAAATCCAAGAGCAAAATGAAGAGCTTGGACTGTTTATTGATTTAACATATACTCAGCCCTATTACAAATCAGAAGATTTGCCAGAAACTGTTCCTTATTTAAAAATTTGTATAGTTGGGCATCAGGTGCCCCCGGATGACACTATTTTCAAATTCAAATGTGCTGTTAATAAATTTTTGAAGGAAAATAAAGATAATGACAAATTTATTGGTGTCCACTGTACCCATGGTTTAAACAGGACTGGCTACCTCATCTGAAGATACTTAATTGATGTAGAAGGCATGAGGCCAGATGATGCAATTTAATTATTCAATAGGTGCCGAGAATATTGCATAGAAAGACAAAACTACGTTGAAGATCTTCAGAACGGTCCTGTCAGAAAGAACTGGAATTCCGGTATATCCAGATCAAGTGGTTTTGAAGACTCTGTGGAACCAGTCCACAGCAATAACAAGTCTATTAACCATGGACCGAGGTACAACATACAAAATCCAGAGTTTTCATATCTAGTACTGGCAACAATCAGTCAGAAAATTTTCACAAACTCAGAATGTTTACCAGAGAGGTCCTGTGCCCTTCCTGGCCCTGCTGGAGAGGACTATTCACAAAGGAGATACTTTTGGAATATGAAGCCAGATGGCAGTCAAGCAGCTCAGAATAAGAGGTGGTATTCTGGTGGTTACCAGAGACTATCTGCTCCAGCCTATTGGGGATGAAACAAGTGATACAGGCCTGTCCCGGAATTCTACCTGGTGAACAGAGCTGGACTGAAGAGTGCTGGAGTGATTTTCAGTAAAAAACAGGTCAAATTATTTTTCAGGTCAAATGAGGTTTTTTAAAATAACTTTATTGCCTCCTATGTGTTCAAGCTTAAAGGAGAATTGTGATAATATTACCTTGTTGCTGATAAATTCACATTAATTATAGCAATGCAAAAAAGTCATTCCAGTCTTAAATTTTTTTAAAGGAAGATATTTTAGATCTGATGAAACTATTAAGAACCTCCCTTGGAAATTATTTTTTAAAATTCTATCCTTTTTTCTATATATTTCCTTCTGATTAACTTGTGAGATGAGTATGATTATGATTAACTTGTGATATGAGTATAAATTTTTAGTGTTTCTGTTATGTTTTGTTGACCCAGTCATTAAGGGTATCTTTTTTCTCTAACTGTTCAAACTTTTACTAAAATCTACCTAGAAAGACAGTTTCTTTAGAACCTAGTCACTATCTGTATTAGTTCTGATATTTTTGTGATTAGGTATTTCTTAGGCAGTCAGTATTGGGATTTCACTAACTTCCTTGTACTGAATTTCCAGATGTGCCGTTAAACACAAAGATGGATGAAAATGTTAGGGATTGTTAATTGGGCAATAGAGAAACTAACCGGAGTGCTGGCTAATCAATGGATAATTTTCCTGACAGGGTAAATGTCATCAAAGGGGTTGAACTATCCAGAAAGCTTGAAAACTTTTGTAGATTTATAGAAGTTGCTCAATGAATGGAGTTAAGATATGACCACAGGTTTCCTGGAATATCTGGGAAGACTGTTATTCCTCCTCTTTTGAACATAACTCTCTGGGATCTTTCTCCAGTTGCCTCTTACACTGGAGTGGTGATTTACCTCAGGAATACACAGGTAGATCACTTGAGAGGATGTTAATAATTTTTAGTTGCAGAGGAAGCTAGAAATCTTGGCTTGCTTGAGAAAGTATCTAATCATCATGACACATAGTAAACTTCAGCAAATATTTGAGGAATACTTGGGCAACTCAGATTCATTTTTTAAAGCCTCTTAATTTTGAGGATTTGTATCATAGAGTGTCTAATACTGTATATGATAGTTGTTTTATATATGAACAATGTGTGGAACCTGACCTTAACGAAGTACTGTAACTCAACTGTTCTCCTTGCCTGTATCTAATTTGGTCACGTGGCTCTACTTTATCTAAGTGATAGCTCACAAGGCTTTTCTCTGCTTGCCACATAAAAAAAAAGAAAAAGAAAATCCCATTATTATCCTTAAGATTTTATATTTTCTGAAAGACTGTTTCTAGCCCTGCCAACTGGACCTGCTGGACTCCAGACAGTGAGGAAGCAAGAAGACCACCTATTTCTGCACTTACCAAACCCTACTCCTTGAGATGCCAACTCCAAGATTCAGTGGAACAATGACTGCAGACATTAGTGTTGTGGGATTCATTGTATTTATTAATTAAATGTATGAACAATCCATGTGCAGTGAGTGTATTTGCAGTAACGTCTGATTACCTGATAATTCTCTTCTCTAGAAGAGTGATTCTCAAGGAGGGGAGGGAAATGGGTAGTTGGGGAGATCTGCCTGAATCTCTGGAAGAGCAGGTCTTTCTAAAGCACCTGAGTCCACAAGGGAACTTTTTACCTACCTTCCACTCTTTTTTGGCAAATACTGCAGTATAATAATAAAGAAGGCTATTAATATTAGTTTTGTGCACATAAGAACAAAATCACAGCAGGGATTTTAGAAGAAAAGACTGAATCACTAGAGAAGATATTAAGCCTTATATGGACAATGCGCATACCCCAATCCTGCTTGACTCTGTGGGAGATGTAGCTTTGAAGATTTATTTCTTATAAATAAAACTGGGTCGGGATTATAGGAAAGCCGGAGGGAGATGAAGTAGCTAAAAGCTTGCTTTCATGTGAGTTGCTGGTTTTGAGCTACTTCTCCTAGAATGCATTAATCTTTTTGCAGTGCTTCTTTATTTTGTATGCATATCTATTTATCTGATGGTGTATACTTTTCCCTTCAAAACCATTAGAAATGTTCGCAGCTATGTTCTTGGAACTCATCTTTATTTTTATCATTTGCCTTAGCAAAAATTTCATGACTGTAAAAACAAACGGTGAAAAATCTTGTCATGTGATATTATGTGGAGATCAATATTTTTCACTAATATTGGAAGATTTTTTCCTTAGGGAAAAATGTTTTGACTTAAAGTAACAGATCCCAGAAGAGAGTAACAACCTCTGATAGTTTGTCAAAAATTAAAAACATACTTTTACAGTTCTCGACTTTAGGATTTTGGGGGCTGGGTACCAGGGATTGAACTCTGGTCCTTGCGCTTGCCCAGCAGGTGGCGAAACCACTGAGCTAAATGACTTTAGGATATTTAATGCACAAGTGTCTCTGTTTTTCACTGCTGGCTTACGTAGTTACCATAAAATTTATCAGAAACTCTCCAGCCATTTCTCACTGAGCTTTGGCACACATATTGATAGGAAGACTCATGAAGGATATCTGCATGGAGAATCCTGTCTGATCTCAATTCCACTTAGGAAAGAATGACTGGACAATTGCAAGTTTATAGTGAATGCAAAAATCAAGTGATTAGATCACGTACTAAGACACTGAGGCAATTTTACTCTGGCAGGTAAACGAAACAGAGAATTCTGTCTGTCTCAAATGCATGCCCTGAAGCCTCTGAGGTTCCTGATGGCGGCTGCACTCACCACCATTCAGTAGATGTGTCATGTAGACATGACACCATAAGCTTCCTATTTTACTCCGTAATTAAAAAAAATCCTTCAGAGAAGCTGAATTTCAGTTCATCATAATGAAGACCTTTCTGCTGCTTGGAACCAACATAAAAATGGAAGTGAACACCCTGAACAATAATATATCTCCTATTATTAAAGTTGCTTGAATATACATTGGTTAACGTCTTAGCTGGCATTAAAGTAGAAATTTGATTAATTCTGATTCTTCTGTTGTTGATTTTTAAAAAATAATTTTAAGTTTAGAA